ACCATGTTGGCCAGGCTGGTCTTGAACTCCTGACCTCAGGTGATCTGCCTGCTTCAGCCTCCCAAAAGTTCTGGGATTATAGGCATGAGCAACTGTGCCCAGCAACTTGACCATTTTTATTTTTTATTTATTATTTTTAAATTTTTATTTATTTATTTTTTTGAGATAGTCTCACTCTGTTGCTTGTGCTGGAATCTAGTGGCACGATCTCAGCTCACTACAACCTCTGCCTCCAGAGTGCCAACACATTTCATACCTTAGCCTCCTGAGTAGCTGGAATTACGGGCATGCACCACCATGCCTGGCTAATTTTTGTATTTTTAGTGGAGACAGCATTTCACCATGTTGGCCAGGCTGGTCTCGAACTCTTGACCTCAGGTGATCCATCTGCCTCGGCCTTCCAAAGTGCTAGGATTACAGGTGTGAGTCACCACGCCTGGCCCATTTTTAAATTGGGTTATTTGTCATATACTATTGAGTTATAAGAGATTTTTATGTATTCCAGATATGAGACTCTTATGAGATACATGATTTGCAAATATTTCCTCCCAATCTGTGGATTGTCTTCTCACTAGTGTCCTTCACAGCACAAATGTTTTTAATTTTGATGAAGTCCAAGTAATCCACTTTTTTATTTCGTTGCTTATCACTTTGATATCTTATCTAAGAAACCATTACCTAATCGAGAGTCAGAAAGATTTATGCCTATGTTTTCTTTCAGATGTTTTATAGTTTAGTTCTTATATCTAGGTCTTTGATTCACTTTGAGTTAATTTTTATATATAATGGGAGATCACATGCTGTTTTTGAAAACGAGTTAGTGTGATAAACAGTCAGGAGTTCAAAAATATGCAACTATCTTTGGTTTTACTGACAATCATGTGATATTTTGTTAAACATACCATTTAATAGAAAGAAAACAAATTTTAACCTCTAATGAGGCTGATATTCTCAATATTTACTTTAAAAGTGTAATAAGCTTAGAGTTATTAGAAAAGGCCTTTGATAGTTTTGTTTTTGTAAATCAACTGCTTTCAATAAAAACTTGAATAAATGAAGCCATATTTTTATGTTATGTAAATAATATTTTTGAAATACATTAAAAACATCTTTATTATATAACATGTAATAATTATATGACTTTTTGTTTAATGCAGTGGTTCTCAATCAGGGGCAATTTTGCCCCTCAAATGAAATTTGGTGGCTGGGCACGAAGGCTCATGCCTGTAATTCCAGTACTTTGGGAGGCCGAGGCCGGTGGATCACCTGAGGTCAGGAGTTCAAGACCAGTCTGACCAATATGGTGAAACCCTGCCTCTACTAAAAATACAAAAATTAGCCAGGCGTAGTGGCAGACATCTGTAGTCCTAGCTACTCGGGAGGCTGAGGCAGGAGAATTGCTTGAACTGGGGTGGCAGAGGTTGCAGTGAGCCAAGATCACACCACTGCACTCCAGCCTGGGCAGCAAAGTGAGACTCCATCTCAAAAAAGACAGACAGACAGACAGACAAAGAAAGAAAGAAAGAAAGAAAGAAAGAAAGAAAGAAAGAAAGAAAGAAAGAAAGAAAGAAAGAAAGAAAGAAAGAAGGAAGGAAGGAAGGAAGGAAGGAAGGAAGGAAGGAAGGAAGGAAGGAAGGAAGGAAGGAAGGAAGGAAGGAAGGAAGGAAGGAAGGAAGGAAAATAAAAGAAATGTGGCAATGTTTGGCAACACTTTTGGTTGTCACAACTGGGGGGACAGTGCTACTAGAATCTAGGAGATAGAGAGCAGAGAGGCTGCTAAACAATCTCCAGTGGGTAGAGCGGCCTCCACGACAAGGAAGTATCCAGCCCAGAATGTCAGTTGTGCTGAGGTTGAGAAACTGTACTTAACTAAATCCGTGGCCTCTACCAGATAGATTCGAAAAGAGATGAGAGTTTGCAAACCCTTCTCCCCTCAGTTACAACCCCTGAATTTCTTCTATCGCAATACTTAGGCTTTCTGGGGCTAGAACATGCCCCAGCATCTTACTGCCATTAAAACCCTTCATGGTAATGAAAATCTGTAGGCCTTCCCTGTGGGGATCATTAAGAAGCATGAGCACTTGCTTTCAGTGCTTAATTCATTTTATAATTGTGCATTTTAGTTTTTTGCATTTATCCTTGGATAATGCATTCCCTGCTAAACATATATATTTGGGTAACCAATCTCCTGTTAACATATATTTTACCTGATTATGTAACAATAGAAGTGATCATAAGTAACCATTTCTGACCGTTCACTGTGTTAGGCGCTGTGCTAAGCACACTTTCTGCATTATCTAGTTTAATTTTCTCAACCACTCTATGAGAGAGCAACTCTCATTATTTGCATTTTACAGCCATGGAAACTGAGGCACGATGAGATTGAGGGGACTTGCCCAAGATTGTGTAGTTGGATCATTATTACTCCAAGTCAAGGCTTAAGCCTGATGTAGGGTCAAATGTGAAGTGCAGGCATGTCACAAAGACTTTGGATTATTCATTATGGGCAGTCACACATTGATGTTTGCAGGGCAGTGAGGTATTGTCTCATTCTCTGGCATCACAGTAAGCTCCCTGCTGTGGAAGAGAAAGCGTGGGCACACACAGCTAGCTACAGGAAGTCCCATCAAACCTGGGACATGCCCACAGAAGCATGGCTCACCTGGGAGCATCACCTGTCCTGCCTATCATGGTGGATAATACTTGAGAACTGCTGCTTAAGGAAAACTGGGATGTGTGAAGCATCACTTATGTTCCTGATACCCCCCCACCCCAAAGTCAGTCAGGCCTTGACTTTCTACCTGCTATCCTCTCATAAAAAGCTCCAACTCCCAGTGTCTCTTTTGATCCGTGGCCTAAATCTGTCTGCAAGTACACCAGCACCACCTGCCAAGCCCATTATCTGTCTGTCCGGGCTCTGTGCTGTCTGGGCCCTGCTCACTTACAGCCCTCCCAGAGGCAGGATCATACCCCGGTCTCCTGATTTTACAGCCACGACTCTTACTGAAACAGCACTGTGGTATTAAGCATACTACACCTTTTAAAAAATGATGCATTAGTTAGGCCGGGCGTGGTGGTTCATGCCTTTAATCCCAGCACTTAGGAAAGCCGAGACGGGTGGATCATGAGGTCAGGAGTTCAAGACCAGCCTAGCCAATATGGTGAAGCCCCGTCTTTACTAAAAGTACAAAAATTAGCCAGGTGTGGTGGTGTGTGTCTGTAGTCCCCGCTACTTGGGAGGCTGAGGCAGAAGAATTGCTTGAACCTGGGAGATGGAGGTTGCATTGAGCTGAGATCATGCCACTGCACTCCAGCCTGGGTGACAGAGGGACAGAGAGAGACTCTGTCTCAAAAAAAAAAAAAGGATTCCTTAAACAGTAGTATTCCCTCCCAAGCTGTATCCCTCTATGTGCCAGGCACACAGTGATCTTCATGCCTAATAACATTCCCCTCACAGAGGTGGGTTTCAGAAAAGAATTTGGAGTTTGTGAGAGTGACTGCATTTTGATGGTACAAAGATTGGAAGTGGGGCTGGGAATGGTAATCCCAGCTCTTTGGGAGGCCGAGGTGGGCAGATCACTTGAGGTCGGGAGTTCAAGATCAGCCTGGCCAATATGGTGACACCCCGTCTCTACTAAAAATACAAAGAATTAGCCGGGCGTGGTGTCGGGCCCCCGTAATCCCAGCTACTCAGGAGGCTGAGGCAGGAGAATTGCTTGAACCCGGGAGGCAGAGGTTGCAGTGAGCCGAGATCGCGCCACGGCACTCCAGCCTGGGTGCAACAGAGCGAGAGTCCATCTCAAAAAAAAACAAAAAACAAAAAACAAAGAGGCTGGAGGTGGAATGACTTCAGTTTAGTCAGTTTGAAGGTGCATATCTTTTGGGTGATGTTCTCCCCATACCAGCCGCCCATGTATTCCCCACTAGCTCTGCAAATGCAGGGAACCGGGAGCGCACAACGATTAGAAATGAAGATTATCCTGCTCCCGTAGATCTGAAGAAGAACCCTGGTTTTTGTTCTAGATCTGTCCTGAAACTCCTTGGGCAAATCTTTCCTTGCTCCGGGCCTCAGTCTCCCCTAATGGGAGAGCGTATGTACTAGATGGTCTCCAAGCATCCTTGCAGCTGTAAACTTCTTTGACTCCCTAAGGTACCAGGGGCTGAGTTAAAGTGAAGCCCATGAGGGTAACTCCAATCCCCCCTAATAGGAATCTGCTTTAGCAGTAAGCCCACACCTAGAAGCCTGCTTATGTTTGAAGAAGAGAAGGGAACAATTGGTTGATGTTATGTTTCTTGAGATACCCATCTCCAAGGGCGACGTTCAAAATATTTAACCACCAGTGTGTCGTGAGCACAGACCCGTCAGGAGGTTAGAAGGCAGCGGGTAGAGCCAGCAGGGGCTGTGGCCAGAAAGCATGCCCTGTCCGCCTCTTAGCTCTGCAGGGCACTGCTCACCTCACTGCTTTCCTGGGCCTTTCTCCAGCTATTTTTTTTTTTGGTCTGCCTCTTCCTGCCTGATTCTCCATCCAGGGCCCCAGCTCAACCCCCTTTTGGTTTCGTCTCTCTCCAACCACTTGATACTCAACTCAACTCCTGTAAATATCTTTATGCATCCAAACAACAACTCAATCATATTCATCACTCAACAGATGCTCTTTCAGTGCCCTCTGTGCTCAGGCTGGAGTCGGCTGCCTTGCTTGACCCCTCACCTCCTCTCATTCAAAAATGTTAGAGGCAGGGATGCGCTGGAGGATTGAGAGACCTGAGTCCTAGCCTCTCTCTGCCCCTCGTCTGCCTTTGACCTTAGGCAAGTCCCTCCCCGTCCTGGGGTTTCAGATTCCTTACATGTAAAATGAGGGACACCATGGATTCCATGAGCTCTGAGGTCCCTGCTGTTCGATGATGAGTTTCTGGAGAAGTGCAAGTCTTCAGCAGTTGACCACTCTCTCTTTCTCTCTCTCTCTTTCTCTCTCTCCTGCCCCCCACAACCTCCACTGTAGAATGCACTGCTGCCTGCAGGCCTGAGGCAGAAGGATCAGACCACCAAGGCGCCCACGGGCCCCTTTAAAAGAGAGGAGCTCTTGGATCACTTGGAAAAGCAAGCAAAGGAGTTTAAGGACCGAGAAGATCTGGTCCCCTACACAGGGGAGAAACGAGGTACTGAACAATGTTGCTGTTATAATATGCCACTCCCCATGCACCACTGAGTGCCGACTGTATGCCAGGCCCTGCCAGGCCCTGTGTTGGGCCAAATGTGACTGGGCCTCCTTGTCCTCATCCCTGCCTGGCCAAAACACCCAAACCCAACTTCAAAAGCATCTAGGGATGATGTAGATTTCATGAAGTTTTGGGGGTAGACTGAGGAAAGACTCCTATCCACTCAAATCAGCAAAACTTTTCCCTAAACCCTCTTTCACTAGGATGTCCTGATTTTTTTTTTTTTTTAAATGCAAACCTAGACAGTTTTGAGAGTAAAAGAAGAAACTGTTAATAATGACATCAGGACTTTGGGAGACTCAAGCAGGCAGACCACCTGAGGTCAGGAGTTTGAGACCAGCCTGGCCTACATGGTAAAAACCTTGTCTCTACTAAAAATTCAAAAATTAGCCAAACATCGTGGCACAAGCCTGTAGTCCCAGCTACTCAGGAGGCTGAGGAAGGAGAATCGCTTGAACCACGGAGGCGGAGGTTGCAGTGAGCCAAGATTGCACCATTGCACTCCAGCCTGGGCAACAAAGCAAGACTCCATCTCAAAAACAAAAACAAAAAAAGCATGAGGCCTAAGTAGGGACCATCCTATGCAAACCAGGGACTAGAGATGCACTAACCATCTCCACCCGGATTCTCTCTGCTCTTTCTCCAAAGTTCCGCTCTCTGGCAGCTGCAGCTTCCCTTCCTTCATCTGTCCCTTTATACTCTCTGCTCCAGCCTGAGGCAAGCCATCTTGAAGGCCCCAGGCAAACAGAGAGGGCCTCCCTAATCATCCATTCTTCTGGGACTTCCCATTGCTCTCCAAACCCTCTGCCCCCTCCTATACCCCCCTCATCCCATTGTCCCATAGGCCTCCTTCTGCTCTTCTCAAACTTTCCACCTCAGGACCTTTGCACATACTCCCTATGCCTGGAGTGCTGGTCCTGCTGCCCAGCTCCATGCTGTCTTCTTCATGGCTGGCTCCTCCTGCCCGGTAAGATATAATGGTCAGAAGCAGCCTGGAGCTAGATCTATTTCAGTTGCAATCCTGGCACTACCACTTACTAGCTGTGTGAACATATGTAAATGTTTTAACCTACTGTGCCTCCATTTCCTTCTCTGTAAAACAGGAATGATGAAAATACCAGCCTCAGGAGGTTGTAATGAAGGTTAAGTGAGTTCAGATCTCTGTCAAGCACTTAGAACAGCATCTGGCAGGAAGTGAATGCTACTTAAGTATTAGTTGTTATTGACCTTTAGGTCTCAACTGTACAGTCTTCTCTTTCAGGGAAACCATCCCTGTCTACTCTGTTCAGGACAGGCAGTCCCTCTCCAACTCCCCCGCTTGGTTATTTTCCAACATGGGAGCCTGTGTGTGTCCTTCAGAGCAACTCACATCTTATCAGCATCTCTTTATTTTTCATCTGTCTCTCTCACTAGCCTGTAAACTCCCTGAGGGCAACCACTTGAGCTGTTTTTGCTCAAGTGGTACTCCCAGCATGCAGCCAGCGCGAGGCCTGCCATATAGTAGGGTTGAGTAGAGAGTTGTTGGATGAATGGATAAGCTAAAATTAAATAAATGTTTAATAGATTTGTGCACTACTTCCTTAGAATACCAGCTACACAAGTGCAAAGACCATATTTGTCTTGTTAATCACCAGCACCAAATAAATCTGTAGCACATAGAAGGCACCTACTAAATATTTGTTGAATGAAAGCACTAATTCTAATTAATTAATTGTGTAATTAATTATTTCTTTTCAGTCTCTTCCATTCCCTCCACCCCTAAGAATGCAAGCATTGTGAGCTCCAGGTCCACATCTGTGGCTGGCACCCCTGTATTGCTGTTGTATTCTCACAATGCCCGGCACTAAGTAGCTGCTTCATAAAATGAGGGGGTAGACATTGTGCGGAGGACTTCGAGCCATTCCAAACCCTGGACTTGGAGCTCAGTCCGTGTTTCACTGAAAACTGGAAGTCCAGGGAGGCCTAAGGGGCATCTAGATTATAGAACTTCTGAGTTTTGAAAGGAGTGCATGGTCAGAGGGATCCTGGAGGGGATGGCAGGAGAGAAGGTGAGGACAAGGGCAGGGAGTAGGGATGGGCAGCAGACCTGGGTGGATATCTAGCAAGGTGAGTCATTGCTGTCGTCCACTTCCTCATGTACCCACACCCCTCCCAGGGGAGGATCTGGAGGATGGTGTGAGGGATGGGGAAGGGAGTCTGAGCGGTACACAAATCAATCCCGCCCTAGGCATTCCAGATCTAGCAAGGCATGTTGCTTAGCATCGTGGATCACAACCCTTTCCAGCTTTTCATTCTGCAACCCCTAAACCTGTCTTTGTCCTCATGGTCTATCTGGCTGCTGCAGCTCCAGCCATCACATTCACGTGCCACTGGTAAGATGAAGGGAAGAAGTCTAGGTACCTCTTCAGTGGCTCAGAGTTGCCATCCTCACTGGAGGAACCTGTTATGGGGTATAATAAACCACAGGTATTAAATATTTATTGAATATTCATCTCAGCCATTGCTTTAGTCATTTTAATACTTGAGTTCCTTTTCAGGGATTTTATTTTCCTTTTATGTTTTCCTCTTTTCTGGATCCCTGGAATCTGGTATTAATAGAAGCTATGATACATTTTTTCCCCAAATGATTCTGTTGTGTGTTTTGCTGATAGAGGTAATTGATATTTGCTGTAAACAATTTACAAAATAAAGCTAAGTAATTCAAAATCATTTCCTTCACTGAAAATAAGCACTGATCCCATTTTAGGAAATATCTTTCTGGACATTTATCTATGTGCTTCCCACTCCCTCTCAACCTTCACCACTACAACCCTGGTATTGAACCCACACCGACCTCCTAATCATCTCCGTACCTCCACCTGCACTCCCTTCAGCTTATCCTCCATCAACAGCTACTGTGAGCTGTGTAGGTTTTTATAAATTGAGGTAAAACTTATATGACATAAAATTATCCATTTAAAAATGAACAATTCACAACATTGTGCAACCACCACCTCTATCAAGGTCCAAAACACTTTTGTTGCTCCAAAATAAAACCCTATACCTATTACAGTTAATTACTCTCCCATTCCCTCTGCCCCAGCCCTTCGTGACCACCAATCTGTTTCTATGGGTTTACTTATTTTGTATATTTCCTACAAATGAAATCATACAATATGTGACTTTGTGTGTCTGGCTTCTTTCACTGAGCACAATGTTTTCCAGACTCATCCATGTTGTAGCACGAATCAGTACTTTATTCCTTTTTATACCCGAATGATATTCCACAATTTGTTTATCCATTCATCTATTGATAGACATGTCAGTTATTTCCACCTTTTGGCTATTGTGATTAGTGCTGCTTTGAACATTCCTGTACAAGTATTTGTTTGAATACCTGTTTTTAGCTTTTTGGGAGTATATACCTAGGGGTGGAATTGATGAATGATATAGTAATTCTATGTTTAATTTTTTGAGTAACTGCTAAACTTCTTTTCCATAGCAACCATATCACTTTACACTCCAATCAGCAACGTATGAGGGCTCCAATTTTCCACATTGTTGCCAACATGCATTTTCCATTTTTTAAAATTGTAGCCATCCTCATGGGTGTGAAGTGTATCTCATTGTAGTTTTGATTTGCATCTCCCTAACAAGCCATGATGTTGAGCATCTTTTCATGTGCTTGTTGGCCATATGTATATCCTCTTTGGAGAAATGTTTATTCAAATCTTTTACCCATTTTAAAACTGGGTTGTTTTTCCTTTTGTTGTTGAGTTGTAAAAGTTCTTTCTGTATTCTAGATACTAGACCTTATCACATATGTGATTTGTGAATATGTTTCCCCTTCTGTATATTGTCATTTCAATTTCTTGATAGTATCCTTAGATGTGCAAAACTTTTAAATTCTGATGAAGTCCAATTGATCTATTTTTTCTTTTGTTGCTTGTGTTTTTGTTATCATATCTAGGACTTCACTGCCAATTCTAAGGTCATGGAGACATACCCTTATGTTTTTGTTTTTTCTTCTAAGAATTTTATAGTTTTTTTTTTTAGATGGAGTCTTGTTCTGTGTCCCAGGCTGGAGTGCAGTGACACAATCTCAGCTCACTGCAACCACCACCTCCCGGGTTCAAGCGATGCTCCTACCTCAGCCTCCTGAGTAGCTGGGACTACAGGCACGCACCACCATGCCCAGCTGATTTTTCTATTTTTAGTAGATATGGGGTTTTGCCATGTTGGCTAGGTTGGTCTCGAACTCCTGACCTCAGGGGATCTGCCCATCTCAGCCTTCCAAAGTGCTGGGATTACAGGCATGAGCCATCGTGCCAGGCCTGAATTTTATAGTTTGTTTTTGTTTTTGTTTTTGTTTTTGTTTTGAGACGGAGTCTTGCTCTGCCGCCCAGGCTGGAGTGCAGTGGCAGGGTCTCGGCTCACTGCAAACTCTACCTCCCAGGTTCACGCCATTCTCCTGCCTCAGCCTCCCGAGGACCTGGGACTAACAGGCACCCGTCACCACACCTGGCTAATTTTTTTGTATTTTTAGTAGAGACGGGATTTCACTGTGTTAGCCAGGATGGTCTCTATCTCCTGACCTCGTGATCCGCCCGCCTCGGCCTCCCAAAGTGCTGGGATTACAGGCGTGAGCCACCGCGCCCGGCCTAAAGTTTTAACTTATATTTAAGTCATTCCATTTTGAGTTCAACTTTACATATGGTGTGAAATAGGGGTCCAACTTCATTCTCTTGCATGTGGATATTCAGTTGTCTCAATACTATTTGTTGAAGCTATTATTCTTTCCCCAGTGAATGGACTTTGCACCCTACTTGAAAATCAATTTGCTATAGATGTTTGGGTTTCTTTCTGGACTCTCAATTCTATTTCATTGTCTATCTATCTATCCTTACGCCAGCACTACACTGTTTAGCTTTTTAGTAAGTTTTGAAATCGGTATGAGTGCTCTAATTTTGCTCTTTTTCAACATTGTTTTGGCATTTGTGGCCCGTAATTCCATATGAATTTAAGGATCACCTTTTTTTATTTCTGGGAAAGGACTATTGGAACTTTGATAAGGATTACATTGGATCTGTAGATTGCTTTGGGTAGCATTGCCATCTTAATAATATTAAGTGTTCCAATCCATGAACTTAAAGTATTTTTCCATTTACTTAGGTCTTTAATTTCCTTCAGTAATGTTTTATAATTTTCATTGCACAAGTCTTTCACCCCTTTGGCTGAATTTATTCCCAAGTTTTATTCTTTGGATGTATTATAAATGCAATTGTTTTCTTAATTTGCTTTTCAAATTTTTCATTGCTGATGTACAGAAATACCACTAATTTTTGTATGTTGATCTTGTACCCTGCAATATTGCTGACTTTATTAGTTCTAATAGGGTTTTTTTGTGTGTGGAAATTCAGGGTTTTCTATACGTAAGATTATGTCACCTACAAATAGAAACAATTTTACTTATTCCTTTCTAGTTTGGATTCCATTGACTTCTTTTTCCTGTCTATTTATTCTGACTGAAACTTCCAGTACAATGTTGAATAGCAGCAGTAAAAGTGGGCACCCTTGTCTTGTTCCTGATCTTAGGGGCTCATTTCCTTACTTCTATCAGGTCCCAGGTCACAGGCTGTCATCTCAGTGGGCGTCCTCTGACTAGCCTTCCCAAAACAGCAGTGCCCACCCCACCCACATCCCACCCTGTCATCTTCTAGGCCCTTGTCCTGCTTTGTATTCCTCCATAATGCTTAATACCATTCCATATCTTTATAAGTTTATTATCTGTCTCCTTTCACTACATCAGAAGCTCTTGAGGATTTTACTCACTGCTGTCCCCTAGCCCCCAGGAAGGTGCCTGGCACATAAGAAGCACTCAGTAAATGTTGTTGAATAAATAAATACACATATGCAATTTCACATAAATGGAATTAAATTGTTCGTGCTACTTTGTAAGTTTGCCTTTTTCAAACAACATTTGTCCTAGGCATTCTCCTTCTTAGTAAGTAGCAATCGCCGTCATCCTTTATACTAACTGCTGGAAGTTCATTGTATGGATGCACTATAATTTCTTCGCCAATTCCTGTGGGTGGGCATGACAGTGACCATCCTCATACGTACCTCTTTACTTCCCTCATTCCGTTATGAATCTGACACTTTAAAAATACGATAATGAGGCAAGGATGCATTTTTTTCTCCCTTTTCATTATTTTATTCATTTGTTTAGAAATGTTTATATATTTTTGTCTCATTTCCCCAAGGTCTCAGAACCTTTGGTTAGGGTATCCCAGACCCTGGCATTCTATTAAATTTTTCTGTGATTTTTTTTTCCTACTTACAGATTGTTTGGTCATGACCAATGCTTTTGATAGAGGGTAGTCGGCTTGGACCAAGTTATAAAATCATTCTTGTCAAGTGTGAGGCGTGCTGTGTTGGAGATCTCTGATTCCTGTTCTTTGGGGAAGTTGGTCCCCAGAGGGAGAAACCTGAAGGGACTTTCAGCATGGAGGGACCCACAGGGCTCTGGTCCACGCAGGGCCATCGCCAGAGGCTGCTCCGCTGCAGCCACTCCCGTAACAGGTCCTCTGTGTATTTTCAGGAAAGGTCTGGGTTCCTAAGCAGAAGCCAATGGATCCTGTGCTGGAAAGTGTGACGCTGGAACCGGAGCTGGAGGAAGCCTTGGCAAATGCTTCGGATGCAGAACTCTGTGACATTGCAGGTAAGAGGCGTTCCAGGAGCTTTCCACATCCTCCAGAAGGACTTGAGCCACATCTGCAGGGAGCCTTGTAGGGCTCATTTCAGCATGAACACCTTCTCTATTTTTAAGAACTAGAGGAGACCGAGAGTGTTAAAGAAAAAATCCATTCTCAAAAACCGAAACAAGGAAAACAGAGATAAAACCACACAAACCCACCACACCAGGGAGCCATCTGTTGTTGCCATGAGACCCCATGCCAGAGGGATGTGGATGTATCTCAGGGAGAGCCCACAGACGCCCCTTCCCAGCCATTTGCATTGAATCCTGCCCAAGCCACTTGGGAAGAGAGGATAGAGGGAAAACAGACAGAGGGCCTCTGGTGTCGTTGGCTTGGGAGGCTCACTAAGGGCTCGAATTTTACAACTTTGCACTTTGCCTGCAGTCGGCTCAGCGAGCTGGGCTTTGAGGGGTCACCCTTGTATATCACATATTTGCCCCACGCCCTCCATCTTCATATGTGTTTCCATACGATCTTCACAAACTACCCCCAAAACTCCAGAAGGTGGCCTGATATTCAGAGCCCTTTGCCCCCTTCCCCACCTCCCCCGACTTCTCTGCTGCTCCTGTCTACCCACTGCCGGTGGTGTTCCATCCCCAGGAGGGTCAGGCTCTGGCCACATCCGGCACCCTGTACACTCCCTCCCCACCTACTGTGCTCCCTGACACAGGGAGTGGGTGGGTTTTTATTCTGCAAGCTTGGAGGCTGCTAATCATAGCCCAGGTGATGGCAGGAGGGTGGGCGGGGTGAAGAAAGGCTCGAGGCAGGTGGGCAGGGGAGAGGGTAGAAGGGGATGCCTGTGACTGATTGGCTGTGAGAGCGAGGTAGAAGAGTCGAGCAGGGTAACTTCAGACACTAAGTGGTGTCGGTGCCATTAGCGACAGACGGCAAGGGAGGAGCAGGAAGAGCGGAGATACAGAGTTCAGTTTACAACCTGTGGCACTTGAGGCACCTGTGGGCCACCCAAGTGGGGTCAGTTGTATCGGAAGGTCTGGAGTGCTACAGGGGGTTCCCATTCAGGACAGAGATTTGGGCATCATTAGTGTTGTCAAGCTCCAGGAAGAACACATGGCCCTCGTAGAAGCCTTTGGCAGTGGGGGGGTGGGGGTGGGGGGCCAAGTCATAGAAATGGGGCAAAGCTAGAATGTGGATCAGTTAGCCACAACTTAGCTGAGAACCAAAGGCCAAATCAAGATGGGCAGAATCGGATGCAGGAGCCACAGAGACAGAGTGAGGGTTCGGGGCTGACCAGGAGACTCAGAGGCATGTGAGACCAGAGGCCCCGGCGGAGGTGGGAGGTCACCCGCACCAGGGACTCGGCCGGCCACAGCTGCCTTCTGCGACTTGTGAGTGGTGTTGTGCATGACCTTGGTGACATGCGTGCAGGGGTGGGGGAGCCACTGGAGGATGTGCAGGGGCAGTGAGAAGACTCAACTACATACAAGGGGCACTCTGGGTGGTGACAGGTGAAGCCAGGTCTGAGGGACCTGAGGAGTGAATGCGGACAGCCAGTGTGTAGACCCCAAGTCCAGACAGCCCTTTCCTCAGGAGACAGGGAATTTAAAGGACAAAGGGCAATGGCTTGAAGGGTGTTGGGACTGAGAGAGAATGGTTTTCCTTTTCACTATGAAGTACAGAAGCAGTGAGTGCTTCACCCAGATGGGAAGGTAGCACTTAACTCTGGAATCTAGTTTGCTAGGGTAGGGATTTATTCTATCAGAAGCCACACGAGTCACAGTAGATCCTTCATTGAGCCCATATATTATGTATCACACTTCAACCAAACCATCTCCCCGAAGGGGGTCCCTTGAGTTCGGGTTAATCTGTGAGGCAGGGAGGTGGCTGATGCCTTGGTGCGGCATCTCCACTTCGACTGGGGCTGTTTTTACCCTGGACTTTCTCCTCTGATCACCCTCCATGACGTCACTCCCCTCATTAGGCGGCCCAAAGGGATTATCAAATGACTGCTGTCACAACTGCCGGCTCCTGCGGTTCCTGTGCCAAATCAGAGCTGCAACCGTGTGCTACGTTTCTGTGTTGCTTTCTTGAAACTATTTCTCTTTATTTTTGTTGGCATGGCTATTTGTTGTTATCTGTAATGATACAATACCCTGCCAATGTCTGGGAAGGAGAGGGGAGCTGTAAGTCTACACCAGTATTAACTGGCTAACCTTGGATGCCTGTCATTTGATGTTGGACATTTGAAAGGTGGCAGCATCTCTGGGGAAGGAGGGACTGAATATTTCTGACCACCTACCATGTCCCAGGTTCTATGTGAGTTGCTCTCAAGACCTTGTTGCATTTATTGACCAAAACAATCCTATGAAGGAAATTTTATTACTGTCCCCATTTTACAGATGGAGAAAGTAGGCAAGGTGTGGTTAAATGCCTTGCCCAAAGGATTTAAACCCAGGCAACTTCATTCTAGGGACTATGTGCAGCAGCATCACCCAGTGTAACCTGAGCGAAGCCCTTCAGGGTAGGGGAGGACACAGAGCACAGAGGGTAGGCAACAGAGGGTGATGGGCAAGGCTGGAGAAGTTGGCTGGGGACCGGGGGGGTCACATTAGGAAAGGCTATGGATGCCACTCCAAGGAGATGAAACTTGGACTAGGGGCATGAGGGAAAGCTAGATGGGAGCAGGGGTTTGAGTGGAGAGGAGGGTTGTTCTGCAGGATGGGCGAATGGAGGAGGCAGGGCCTGGATGAGGCTGAGGCCTGGGCGGAGCTGTGGGATTGCATCTGAGATGCAGCTTCACCAAGAGCCCAGCTGTTCCTAGTGCTGGCTCAGAGGCTGAGCAGCTGAGATGGTTCCAGGCTTTCTGGCCTGAGGCAACAGAAAACAGGCTGGGTGGCTGATGAGGAGTGCTCTGCCGAGAGCTGACTTCAGAAACTCCGCATGAGATGAAGGCTGGACTTCGAACATGGTGTTGGAGGTGCTGGGCGGAGCAGGCCCACCAGAGAGTGGTGGGTGGTTGGAGCCTTTTTCATGGGGCATCCAGGTCACCTGTAGTCGGTATGGCCTGTCTCCCAGGTGGAACATTTCCATCAGCTCAGCTCTGGCTTGCTGACTCACACACGCAGTCAGCGCCATCCATCGTCTCTGGACTAGGCCCTGGCAAAAGAATGGTAAGAAAACAGCCCAATTTCCACCCTCACAGAGTCTATGTTAAACAAACACCAGGTAAGTATGAAATGACAAATGAGAATGAGCGTCTGAACAGAATCAGTACAGTGTGTGAGGCAGGCACTTGGGGTAGGGCTGGGGGAGACCAGGGAAAGGCTATGGAGAAGAGGTTAGGAGCAGAAGAGTAGTAGTGAGAAAGTGCGGAGAAGGTCCAGGGCTGGAGAGTGGCAGGAGCAGCGGTTCTGGGCTGGGGAGGGCAGGCCCCTCTGAACCATGTGCTCTGCAAGAGTGGCGTGGCAAGCTTGCTATCTGGTGATGGTAGGAGCCTGGAGGGCACGCTCAGGTGTGCCCTCCTAACTCACGTTTGACACAGGTGAGGTGCATCACTCATGCATTCACCTAACTGCTCATTAAGCCAGTGCACATTATTGAACTCCTACTGTATACTACGATGAACCAGAGCCAGTCCTTATCTTTGGGAGGCCCAGGAGGTGATGAGGAGGACAGAAGAGAAACATGTATTTTTTTTTAACCTTAAAATCTTTTATCACTTAAACATGTAGATTTCAACATTAAAAGTGTCCCTGCTGGGTGGCAAGCAGAGTGCACAGGTTCCTGGCAGGGCTAAGTTCTTGGCACATAGCCTTGGGTTGTAGGTCAGAGGCTGCTGGGAGTCAGCAAGCACTTAAAATTCCCAGTTCCTCCTCTGCGCACTCAGGGAGGTGATGCTGGCTGGCCTTTAGGGACCCTTCAGATGGGGCAGGACCCAGGAAGGAAGTGGGGTAGGGAGACTTATCCTTTAGATAGGACAGCCTCGGGCCATTCACCCCCAAGGGCAGTTGGCAACCTGGGGGTCTTGCGGCTATCAGAGGCAGGCTTAGCCAGACCACGCCCTGGCTTCTGGCTACTTCCGTGTGCTTAGGCACCTGTCCTGCTGCCCTACCAGTGGCAGAGTGTATCTTATCCAGGAGCAGTTCAACTGCATCCAAGTCCTGGACTGGAGCCAGTTTCTCCCACCTGTCCCTGGGATGCAGGAGAACATCTTCCAGCCATCTGCCCAGAGCCAGCCCGAGCAGCTGGCAGCTGGAGGAGCCGGGGACGTGTGCTGTTATCTCCCTGCGTCCTGAGTGGAATTACCAAATGAGTGAACTCTGCCAAGGCAGGGAGAGGAAACAGAACTCAATGTTCTTTTTCAGAGTTCAAAAATAGTCCTTTTTGAGTTTTGAGGAAGATCTAGACTTAAAAAAAAAAAAAAAATCAAGTTCCCCAGTGCTAAATTCAGCCTTGCCAGTATCTACAAAGAATGAAGCAACAGGCAATGTTGATGTGCCGTTTTCTCCCGTCACTCATTCCTGGCGATGTGGAGTGTGGCACAAAACCAAGTGAGAGGGAAAGTCGCGATTTTGTGCCTAGGGCTGACAGAAGGTAATACTAGCCCCAGGCATTCTGCCCATCAATGGAAATCTAGCTGGGCCCTTCCCTTCCTTCTTTCCTTCCTTCCTCTTTCCCTCCTTTCTTCTTTTCATCTTTCCTTTTTGGAATTCTAATTTCCTCTGAGCCGCAAAATTGTTTTATTTCTTCTTAGCCCTGCTGTTAACATAACCTCCTAGAATGAATATATGTTATCTGTCCTTAAGACGCCAAAGTCAAGGGGAAGTTTTAGAACCTTAGAACTGCTAGTGACCTAGTGAATGAGAATACAAACTTAAAAGCCACGAGAGTCCTTGCTGTATGGTTTTGGCAAAACATTTCCCTCTTGAGTTTGCTGGAAAAGTTGGGGATGGGGGGTCTACGTCAGCTACCCTGGATGTTGTGTGTGTGTGTGTTTGTTTTTAGACAGAGTCTCACTTTGTTGCCTAGGCTAGAGTGCAGTGGCGCGATCTTGGCTCACTGCAACCTCCGCCTCCCAGGTTCAAGCAATTCTCCTGCCTCAGCCTCCCAAGTAGCTGGGATTACAGGTGTGCGCCACCACGCCCTGCTAATTTTTGTATTTTTAGTAGAGACAGGGTTTTACCATGTTGGTCAGGCTGGTCTCGAACTCCTGGCCTCAAGAGATCCACCCACCTCGGCCTCCCAAAGTGCTGGGATTACAGGCTTGAGCCACCGTGCCCAGCCCCTGGATACTTACTGTAAAAGCCAAACAGGATAAAAACATAAGAAATTGTTGTGTCGCTAAGTCCTATGGGTAGGTAAGAGATCAGTTCAAACACTCCACTTTACAAGTGAGAAAACTGAGCCTCCCCGCCCCCAAAAAGGAAGTGACTACAGGGTTACCCAGAAAATTCATACCAAGGCTCAGACTGAAACACAGGTCTCCTTCCTCTTGGTCTCCTGGCAGTCTCTTACAACTTCGCCACCTCCATCCCTCTTTCTAGACCATCACAGGAAGCTGGCATCTGTGTGCCAAAGGCACTTTCTATTTTCCACCTCTCTCCACTTTAAGCCACACCAGCCAGCCATATGAGGCTACATCTTTTATATGATCCCCCAAAACCTGTACGAGCTGTGTTTCCAAGCCTGAAACCCCAGCACATCCCAGAACCCCCTTGAGCTGCTCTGTGGGAGCTGGAGAGCCTGCCCCAGAATGGGCCTCCTTCGTGGTGATCTGACTCACCTGCTGCTGACTCGGGCCTCAGCTGCTGTTGCCCACGTAGATGCAGCTTAAATTAAAACCTCGAGAGCTTGAAAAAATGCAGATGCCTCTCTCCCCACCAGTTCTCTTAGTGATGAACAAGCAAGTCTAATTTTAGCAGAGAAGAATCTTAGAATGTGAGAAACAGAAGGGACTTTGAGATCATCTCATCTTGTGGTTTTTGACTGTCACTCAGCAACAAAATCACCTGAGGAGATTTGACCAAAAAAAAAAAAAAAAAATTGGCCAGGCATGGTGGCTCATGCCTGTATTCCCAGCACTTTGGAAGTCCAAGGCAAGTGGATTACTTGAGGTCAGGAGTTCAAGACCAACCTGGGCAACATGGTGAAACCCCATCTCTACTAAAAATACAAAAATTAGCTGGACATGGTGGCACGTGTCTGTAATCCCAGCTACTTCGGAGGATGAGGCAGGAGAATTGCTTGAGCCCAGGAGGTGGAGGTTGCAGTGAGCCAAGATCGCGCCACTGCACTCCAGCCTGTGCCACAGAGCGAGACTCTGTCCAAAAAAAAAAAAAAAAATCCGGAGGTTCCTATTGGTTGGTCCAGAATGGAGAGAGACACTGATACGGTCTTAAAGCTCCCTGTGTGATCCATGTGTGCAGCCTTGACAGAGAGCCACTGGTCTTGTCTCAACCTCTCATTGGAAAGAGGAGGTTAAAGCCTAGAGAGGGGAGGGGAATTGCCCAAGGTCACACTGACGTCAGGGGCATGGTCAGGGCTGGAACTTGTGTCTCCTGACTCTTCATTAAGGGCTCCCATGTTGTCTCTCTAACAGGAAACCATATCTAATCAAATGACTTGGGTATTTTTTAAAAATCATCACCAAATATTTGCCAAATACCATATTCAGGGAGAGGTGGAAGAGGGAATATCCTTGTCTGACCTCCAGAAGCCTACAGTCTAGTAGCAGAAGCACAGGTGTATCTAGTTATGTCTAATACCAGATAGATTCTGATGCATACACCAGGTGCTGTGGGAGGACTAGAGAGGGAGAGGGGGAATCCAGGAAGACTCCCTGGAGGAGGAAGAGTTACTCCCAGTCTTGAAGGATAGGGAGGTAGAGTTGTTAGATAAAATACAGGATGTTCAACTGAATTCAAATTTCAGAGAACAATGAATATGTCCCAATATTGAATGGGGCATACTTAGCTAAAAAAAATTTGTTGTTGGCCAGGTGAGGTGGCTCACGCCTGCAATTCCAGCACTTTGGGAGGCCAAGGTGGGTGGATCAAGAAGTCAGGAGTTCAAGACCAACCTGGCCAAGATGGTGAAACCCTGTCTCTACTAAAAATACAAAAATTAGCTGGGCACGGTGGCACACTCCTGTAATCCCAGCTACTCAGGAGGCTGAGGCAGAGAATTCCTTAAACCCAGGAGGCAGAGTTTTTAGTGAGCCAAGATCGTGCCACTGCACTCCAGCCTGGGTGACAGAGTGAGACTCCATCTCAAAAAAAAAAATAAAAAATAAAAAAATTGTTGTTTATCTAAAATTCCAAGTCAAGTGGGTGCAGAGAATCACCAGCAGAAGGGAGAGCACTAGCAAAAGCAGGAGCAGCTATGAGCAGGGACTGTTTGTGTAGCTGGAGCGGAGAAGCTGTTGAGAGGGGGAGTGCAACAACACTGTTGAGGTGGGACCGGCCCAGGGAGGGCCTGTGAAGCCAGGCTCTGGGTTTGGACTTGGCTCTACAAGTCACCGTTCTCCCATCTGGACAGCTGCAACAGCCTCACGGCTCTGCAGCCACGTCCATCTCTGCCCTCTCTAGTGAGTTCTCAACACAATAGTCAGAACTCAGGTCAGACCATCCCACTTCCTGCTCAAGCCTTCGATGGCTTCTCAGGCTGTTCCTAGGAAAAGACAGCCGAACTCCTTACTCAGCCTAGAAGGCCCTGTAGAACCTGACCTTGCCTCGGTGAATCAAATCTACTCCAGAGGGTTATTGGGCAGATCAAGGAGGGGAGAGTCAGGCAATGGTTCTCAACCTTGGCTGCTCATTGGAACCATCCAGGGAGCTTTAAAAATGCAGGTGCCTGAGCTCCACCCCCAGATATTTCAGGTTAATTGGTCTGGGGTGGGACTGGGCATCAGGAATTTCAACAGATCCCCAAGTGATTCCAATGTGCAACCAAATTGGGAATGATGGGTACAAAGTGTCTTCCCTGGCACCAAGTATGTGCTTAGTGAGAGCGGTGGCGTTGCCATGCTTGTGATTATTACCGCCGCATATCGAGCTTCCATCCTGTTTCCCCCAGCAGTGATTGTCACAGCTGTGTCATCACTGATGTCCTGGCCTTGGCCTCTTCCTACTCTCCACCTGCCAATGTGCAGCACAGAACAGCTGGAAAAGTCTTTCTGGAGATGCCAACCTGACCTTCTTCCCTCACTGGCCTGCCACTCTCTGAACTCTCTGAAGTCTTTACCATCTGCATTCCTCTGCCCAGAATGGTCTATAGCCCTTCTCTTAACTTGACCAACACTTACTCCTCCTTCCCATCCCAAGTTCCTCTTTTATGCTGTCTTAGGACTGAACTTTTCCTCTGCCACACTCGCCATACCCTGCACTGGTTTTTCATTGTGCGGAAACTCCCTTGGCTCCTCTCTCCCCCAGCATACTTTCAGCTCCATGAGCGGAGACCCAGTCTTTCTTATTCTCCACTGTCCCTACCAGAGCCTGGCACACAATGCTGGGGTGGGCCTTGTTACATGTTGAAAAAATGAATGGATGAAAGAATGGCTGAGCATGAGAGCAATGAGGTCAGGTTGGCATTTCCAGAAAGATCTTTCCAACTGCTCTGTGCTGCATGCTGGGAGGTAGAGGATAGGAAAAGGCCAAGACCAGGACACCGGTGTTGACACAGCTGTGACAATACAGCCAGGGAATGATCAGGCCTCCACTAGGACGGAGATGATGGGATGGGAGGGAGACGGATCTCAAAGACACTGGGACAGTCAAATGGGCTTGTGAGGAGAAGGTGCCACATTCCCTGAGGTTTTACCGTGAGGGACAGGCAAGATGACAAGATGGAAAGAGAGCCTTCTACAGAAAGAGGCTGTCGCTGGAAAGAGCCATTCTGGTTTGGCCACGTTGAGCTGGATGTGCCAGCAGGACATCAGGGAATCAGAGGCCAGGGGCAGAGCAGCCTGGGCTGGGGCTGGGGATTTCAGAGTCACATCAATAGAGGGGAGAGTAAAAGTAAAATAAAATGTTGAAGTTTTTGTGCAAGTGTTTCTTGCCACCTCTGTGAGCCAGAGTTCCCGGGGTTTGGGTGTGTGTCCCTAGGAGGCTCTTCTGTCTGCAGAGGCACATCACGAGCCCTTCCCTTGTCCCTGCAGCGATCCTGGGCATGCACACGCTCATGAGCAACCAGCAGTACTACCAGGCCCTGAGCAGCAGCTCCATCATGAACAAGGAAGGGCTCAACAGTGAGTATGCGCCCACCCCCAGGAGGGACCTCATGCTTCTTGCTTCCTTCACTCACTGATGTTCTCTGGCTTGTTGCAGAAGTTTTAACATGTTATGTAGCCAAATCTGTTCATCCTTTCCTTGGAGTCTCCCGGGATTTGTGTCTTGTTTACAAAGGCCTTCTCTATCCCAATATTATAGAAATGTTCTCCTATATTTTCCTCTAAAAGTTTTAGAGATTTACTTTTTATATTCAACTTTTTCTTTTTTTAGACAGGGTCTTGCTCTGTCAGCCAGGCTGGAGTGCAGTGGCACAATCTTGGCTCACTGCAGCCTGGATCTCCTGGGCTTAAGCGATCTTCCCACCTCTGCCTCCTGAGTAGCTGAGGCTACAGGCGTATGCCAGCATGCCTGGCTAATTTTGTTTATTTTGTATGGAGATGAGGTCACACCGTTGCCCAGGCTGGTCTCGAACTCCTGGACTCAAGCGATCCTCCTGCCTCAGCCTCCCAAAGTGCTGGGATTATAGGCATGAGCCACCACACCTGGCCTTATATTCAACTTCTTAATCTACCTGGAGTTCATGTTTGTGTGTGCTGTGGGATGAGATCAAACTTTCAGTTTTTTGAATTGATATCCAGTGGACCCAACACCATTCCTTGCAAGATTTATCCTTTCACCATTGGTTTGGGCCCCAGCCCTTATCATCCACATGAGTCTGTTTCTAAGTGCCTCCTCTGTTTCATGAGCCCTTTTGTCCTTTCCTGTGCCAATATGCCAATATTGCATTGCCTTAATTACTCCACTGCATTGTTCCAAAGCTGGCATTTTGGCCCCAAACAGAAATGAGGCTGCCAAAATATAATTATTCCTCCCTCTGGAAGATTGATGCATTTCTTTCCCATCCGGGCTTCCTCTTAGCCTCCCAGGAGCCCACTGAGGTCATGAGCCCCGGTAAAATGACTAGCCCTGCTTTACAGATGAAGACCCAAGGTTCAGAGAGTGTCAGTAATTCACCCAGTTCTTGCAGGACGTCAAAAGCAGAGTCCAAGCAGAACCCCAGCCTCCTGGCTCCCTTGCGGGGCTTCTTCTGAGTGGTGCCCCCTACCCCCACCCAGTCCTTGCGATGTGCAGCCTTCATGTGCCCTAAGTCTGCACACGCTCCTTTCCAGAGTATCTCTGTGTTGGCAGAAAGTGAGCCCCTTGTTTCTGTGAGCCACCTCCCTTTTATCGGTCACTCTAGGCGTGATTAAACCCACACAATACAAGCCTGTGCCCGACGAAGAACCAAATTCAACAGACGTAGAGGAAACGCTGGAACGGATAAAGAACAACGACCCAAAACTTGAAGAAGTTAACCTCAATAATATCCGGGTAAGGTCCATTTATTTCACTTTACCTGCATGTGGGTGGGGGAGGGAGGACCAAATGCAAGTGGTCCAGGGTTGGCTGTGCAGAGTAAACAGGGTCCTGTTTGGACTCCAGGTGCTTCTGCATCAGGAACAGGGACAAAACCTTTGCAAATGGGAGGCTTTAAGAGAGGTGGGCAGTGTAAACAAGTGCATCTGGCAGTCCTGGTTTCTTTCTGAGGATGATACCAGGCCCAGATGTTTAGCATGGGCCAACCCAGCTTCAATCTGGAAACCTGCCACGTTATTCAAAACACTGAGAGATTCTCCGAGATAAAATCATGAGTCAGACACACACTGCTGCACGGGATCTCAAGGCTGGAAAAGTCCAGTGCCCACTAGGCTCGGGGGTAACACAGGCCCTGGGCAGGTCCTTCCCCTGTACCATTGCTGCTGCTGTATCACATTCATATTCAGCCTCGTTTTACAGCCACAGAAGGGAGCTGTTGGCCAAAATGTGTAAAGCAATATCCCAAGCTGTCTGCCCTTTTCTCTGTGGACATTTCCTTATGTGATCCCAGGGTAGGGGAGGGACAGGTAGGCAGGCAGTCCCACCCTGAACAGGCCGCCGCAGGAAGAATTCGGAGACAAATGCAGCTGCCCACCCACCTGCTCTGCCCGGAGAACAGCGGATTAGTTCTGGGAGGGGGTGAGGGTAAGGCTAGAAGCCAGCCTCCCATGCGCCTGTTCCATTTCTTTCCTTCTCCACTTTCTTTTAAGCAGCTGCCAGCCCCACAGCACCATCAGATTGGAAACCTACGCCCTAGTGTTCACCCCCACCTGGCCTCCCCATGCTCTGCTCCCACGGGAGCTAAAGTGACGCTCTGAAATGAGATTGGTAAAAACACAGCCATGTTTGCTTTCCTGTGCCCAGTAGGAGACATTGGCCCAATTGAGAATGCTGCATGCTGGCAGCAAATGCTGCCTCAGGGCCGCATGAGGGATGGAATCTCCCTGTGAGGCCCCAGCCTCTTCTAGGCCTCAGTTTCCCCTCTGCACTGTGAGCCTGTTTAACCAGATCAGTGGTTTTCACCGGAGAAGATTAAAAAATACATACCAACGCCCAGGCCTGACCCTAGAGATTCTGATTCTGTTGTTCTGGGCCGGCCCAAGCATCACCATTTTGTAAAAGTTCCCCAGGAGTCTCTGATGTGCAGCCGGAGCAGAGACCCCCCTGGGGTAGACGTCTCTTAAAGAGCATCATATGCAACCCCCTTACCTGTTTTCCAGAAACAGGGCTAGAGAGGGGAAGAGGCTTTCACAGAGACACACAGCAAGTCAGAAACATGGCCGATCACTGCGACCAAAGCCAGGTTCCAGCCCCTCCCCACACCTGCAGTCCTAGCTCTTTGCACAATACTACATACCTTAATTTTTGCCTCTTCTCTGGCCCCCAAGTGCACAAAGAAAGAGGTTACAGGTCTTATCTGAAAATTTCAGGGAGGATTTTCTAAATCTGTTTACTAGAAAGTTCTCCCCAAATCTCAGTCATCTGGGACAAAGCCTGAACCTTTTGCCCACTCAGCTTTTTGGCCAGAGACTTGCCAGGAATCAGCGAGGATCCAGGCTTATCCACCTGCCTCAGCCTGTCCCAGGTGAGGCTTCTGATCACTCTCTCTGTTGTCTTTCTTTGTGCAGAATATCCCCATCCCCACCCTCAAGGCATATGCAGAAGCCCTGAAAGAAAACTCATATGTGAAGAAGTTCAGCATCGTGGGGACGCGGAGTAATGACCCTGTGGCGTATGTATGTACCTTTATGTTCTGTTGCATTGTGGATAGGGGGCCTTGAAACAGAAGGGTTGAAATATGTGGTCTCAGGACTGGTTGTATCCCACTAACAGAGCTCTATGTGGTACAGTGGAAGGCACTGGACCAGGAGCCATGAGGGGGTGTAGAGGGAACGGCTATCACCTGGCACCACCTACACGTCATCCTGGCCAATCCTCACAACCACCTCTGGTCTCAGATGTGCAGGTCTCCCCACTTTGCACTTAAAGAATCTAGGGTTGAAAGAGGTCAGGCGACTTGTTTTGTCCAGTCACACAGCAAGTGAGGGGTGGACCTGCAATTCCAGTGCAGTCACGTGACCCCTACATCTGTCTCTGTCTTCACTCGGCATATCATATTAGAACAAGGGCCTGCCCTTCCCTGTTCCTCAGTTTCTCCATCTCTAAAAATCAATGGTTTTGGCTGGGTGCGGTGGCTCACACCTGTAATTCCAGAACTTTGGGAGGTCGAGATGGGTGGATCACTTGAGGTCAGAAGTTTGAGACCAGCTTGGCCAATATGGTGAAACCCTGTCTCTACTAAAAGTATAAAAATTAGCTGGGTGTGGTGGTGCATGCCTGTAATCCCAGCTACTCAGGAAGCTGAGGCAGGGGAAGCGCTTGAGCCCAGGAGGCAGAGGTTATAGTGAGCCGAGATTGCATCACTGTACTTCAGCTTGGGCGACAGAGCGAGGCTCCATCGCAAAAATAAATAAATAAATAAATAAATAAATAAATAAATAAATATTAAAAAAAATAAGAACGATGGTTTCATCAGCAGGTCCCAATGATCAATTTTATTTTACCAAGTCTCAAAATATATTTCTGATCAAACTAAATTGTACTTACTCTGAAGTAGCCATCAACTCTTCTTTTTAAACATCCAGCACGTATGTATTAAGAGTCTCTCTGTGCCCAACACTGAATTAGGTTCTTGGAATGCAATTGTGACTGAACAGTCTCAGCGTCCACTTTTATAAAGATTCTGGTCCATTTGGCCAAGCAGACAACTAAAGGATAACAGTACAGTGTGATTACTGCAAAGCTAGATTCCTGCAAGAAGGGCAGAAACTAGTTTATCAGGGCTAGTAATTAACCACTCTGTAGCAATCAATTTTTTTCTGATTCTTAAAATAGGTAGGACAGCGTTCTTTCATATTTTTGAAATAATAGAAATAGCTCACAGTCTCTCATTGCTGTCAGTGGGGAACCTCTGGACTGATGACCTCTGACCTCAGATCTCCATGGTTCCTTGCCCATAGGAACACAGCTGGCAAAGCTACATGCCCTGTATGCTACTATGTCATGGATCAGAAACCAAGCACGTCCACACTGGCCCTCACCTCAGGTCCATAAATGCTTTTTGGGCATGGACTCTGCCAGACCAACAGCTGATATCAGCCCGTGCATACCAGTATGCCCATGTCGAACACTCAGATGCTTCTGGGCCAGTTGGTAAATCAGGCTGCCAGAGCTCTGTCAGTGCCCCCACTGCCTGCCTTAGCTTTTCTCCTGGGCCCCAGTTTCTCCACTGGGACCCAGCATACAAGGAGTTAACACCTGGCAAGACAGGGCCTCCAGGACCTGCTCAGCCACCGGCATGTCCAGTTGGATCAGCCTGACGGATTGCCTACTGGTTGTTATTTTGTTTTTTTTTGTTTTTTAATTAGATTTGATTAAGCCAGGCCAGGCCTTTCCTGGGAGCAGGAGGGTTCTGGTGGAGGATACAGAGAGGACTCTGGCTGGGTCCTTTCCCTCAGGAGGGCCAGCCAAGTCAGAGGCACCATCACAGAGAAAGCTGACATGCCATCCCAGGGGCACACTGAAGTGAAGGGCACTGAGGAGGGGGTGATGATTTCAAAACAGAGGGCTTCTGGGAGCTAGCCTCTCGGCAGGTCTCAGCAAGGCCGGGGCAATGCGGTAGGCATTCCTGGCTCGGAGCGTCCTTTCAGGCAGCAGGGCCCACTGCTCAGTATGTCCTATCAGCTGCTGGTGTCTTTTTTCCTCCATGACACATCGTTTCCACCAACTGCTAATTACCTCATTTCCTTCAGAGGCTCTGATTGTCATCTACACCCCCTGGCTGAGTTCTTCTGAAACGTGCTAGGGGCCACCTAAGCTCCTCTTCTCCAGTTTGCCCTGGTCACTTGCCCAGTGGGTGGTTTCCCAGGCTTCCCTCTTCTGCTCTGTAGTGCTCAGATGAAGAAAACCACGTCTCCAAGGAATTTCCACAGGGCAATAAAGAGACAAGTGGGGAGTATGTACGGGAGGTCGAGACTCCACTGGTCACTCAATGAACAATGCCTGAGGGCCTACTATGTGCTGGGTACTGTGGGCAACATGGGATAGATAGGATGCCTTTTCAGCCCACCAGGAGCATATAGTCTAATGGCAGAGACAACGCCGGTATGAAAACAACTCCGAACGGAGGAATCCAAGGTCCATAATGAGGGAAGTACGGCTCCATTCTATGAGGATTCGAGAGGGTAGGCTACATCTAGCTGGGGAACGTCAGCAAGAGCTCTTGGAGCAAGGGGCATTGAGAATGGCCTGGAAAGATGGGCAGAGCTTGGACAGGGAAGCAGAAAGGGAAGGGAATTCCAGGTGGGAGGGATAGAAAGGGCAGAGACAAAGTGGGAAAGCACTGAGCGGGGGTGGGGAGCTGCGAGTAGCCCCACTGAAGAGGAGCAGTGACAGTTGACTCTGGACAGGGGAGTAGATCCAGGTCATAGAGGCTTTGGATGTGGGTTAAGCAGCATAGAATTCTCCTGTGGGGGATCGGGAGCCATGGGGGGTTGCAGGAGAGGAGAGACACTGTCAGAGTTGTGCTTGGTGAAGGACGTGGTGGGGATCACCTGTTCCCCTAGGTGTTTTAGGACTTACCCAGAGGGGCCCCCAGCCTTGCTCAGGGTGACTCATGGGTATCCTTGCTTTCTCTTGTGCTTCAAGGCCCTTGCTGAGATGCTGAAGGAGAACAAGGTGTTGAAGACACTGAACGTGGAATCCAACTTCATTTCTGGAGCTGGGATCCTGCGCCTGGTGGAAGCCCTCCCATACAACACTTCTCTGGTGGAACTGAAAATTGACAACCAGGTGAGATGGGCAAGGGTCTCCTCAGGTCTGTTACTACATGCAGCTCGCCGGCCTGCAGTTTTCCCATGCTGCTGAACGGAGCTGAGATTGCTGATGACAGAAGCTCAGAGCCCAGCTTTGAGGCACCTCCAAGGTCTCCAAAGTTCAAACCCTCTATCCTGCTCACCTTCCTTCTTCATCGCTCCCACTGTGTGCTCTTCCAGTTCTGCTTGAGTCCCTCTCATGATGGGGGACACGCTCCTTACCAACATCACCACTTCCATTCTTAGGCAATGAGCACATTCTTCCTTATATCCTGTAGAAGTCAGCTCCCTGTAAGTCCTGTTTGTTGGGCTTAGTTCTGTTTTCTGCTTCACCCAGGACATCTGTTGCACAGATCTCATGAACCACTAAGCTCTCCTTCTCCAGGTTAAAATCCCCAGTTTTCTTCATTCACCCCCATTCAGTGGGGCTTTTGAGTTTCCTCACCATTCAGATTACTCTCTAAGCAAATTCCAGTTTGTCTTTATTCTTATGGAGTTACCATTTCTCTGTAACTTCTATGGGTCAGTCATTTATCTGCAGAGCCACTCTTTCAGCTCTGACTTTCTAAGAGGATGCTAATAACAATATCTTATATGTTACATGTGTTGAGGGTCTCCTGTGGGCCAGGCTCTTATCCCGGCCCGCGGGATAGTCGAAGCAGGCCCTGGAGGAGGGAGTGGGAATTTGGGGAACAAGAGATACGAGAAATGGAGACAAGACAGTGCTCTGATCAAGTCTCGTTTAATGGCGGCAATGCAGTGCCTTATATACACTTGGAGGGGAAGGGGTTGGGCCAAGGCGAAAATGATCTCATAGTGGAGGCATGGCCAGATAGGTATTGGTTTCTCTGGTCGAACGTCATGTTGCACCTGCGCTGTCAGGTAGTAATTTTCACGGGCGCGGGAAAAATGGGTGAAGCAGCAGCAGGAAGAGCGCCATCTTTTATGAGGTATTAATACAGGGAAAAAGGTAAATCTAGGGAGGAGGTAGAAGGTGGAAATGAATAGAGCTCAGGCGTTTTTAATCGTCAGTTATTATTCGCTATGGCCGGGGCGTGCAGCTCCGGACAGGTCCCCCTTTTAATTATTTTATGATGAGAAAACGACCCCTCGGGAACTGCGCCTGTCTTAGGTTGGGTCAACTCATCCCCACCTTCTAGGCCCGTCATGGGATAAGGCAGCAGCAAAGGCGGCCCTCCTGTCTTAGGCTCCGATGGAGATAGTGTCCTCTTACCCGTCCTTGACTGTCCAGTTCAGCACACAGGGGAGGTGGTCTTATTAAGGTAAATAAGACTCACCATTTTCAGTCATCTCAAGGGGATGATAATGGACCTGTATAGGTTTGGCCTGGAAGGCCTCGATTTGTTGTCTGACAAATGCCATAAGCTTATTAAAGATTATAGGCCCGAGAGTGAGAAAGAGTAGAAGAGTAAGTAAAGGACCAAGAAATGGCAGGAGATAGGGGAGAAGTCCATCGAGTCCAGTCCACAAGGGATTAGCGACCAGACCTTTTCTGCGCTCTTCTAGTTCTTCCTGTAAAGTCTTTATCTTATCTCTGACGATTCCGGATTTGTTGGCGTAAAAACAGCACTTTTCATTTCCATGACTGGTCTGGCATTAGGTAAGCTGTCTTGCCCGAGCAAGTCACCTGGGTGATTCTGTCTGACGGAGGTTCAGATACCTGTCCCCCTCTGCAATCACAAGGCTGGCCGTATTGTTTTCGTAATAATTCTCTTGCCTTACGAGGGTCACCAAAACCTGCATAGACTGTCACTATGTTATATAGAGCGATTATTCTCCAAAGGAATCTCATGTTAGGCTTCATTTTCTGAAAAACAAAAAGGAAAGAACTTCTCAGGGAGATTTATCTTCCCTGGACTGACAATGGTTATGATTTATTTGTCTTACCAATCTTTCAGGCAGCCATCTGGCTGCATCATTTTTTTGTGAGAAGATGCATACTGAGCCTCTTCCCCAAATTAAAACTGGATCGGGGCCATGCCATGAATTATCAAGTGGATCTTTCCATTTTACCATTGCAAACTGTTTTTGAGATTCAGGATGCCAGAAACGATCGGCAGCCGATTTTCCATGACTGTCCAAATTTAAAAAATTAAGGATAAACAGGGCATGATTGAGTATGTTTCTAGGGGTACCCTTCACGGGGTACCAGCTCCCCCCTTTTAATTTTGTGATAACAGTTTTTAAAGACAGATGAGCTCTTTCTACTATACCTTGTCCTTGGGGATTGTAGGGAATACCTGTGGTATGTTTAATTTGTAGGGTATTACAGAATTGTAAAAAGGTTTTGGCTATATAACCAGGGCCATTGTCTGTTTTGATTTGTTTGGGTATTCCTAAAATAGAAAAGCAATGCAATAAATGAGCTATGACATGTTTGGTGGCCTCTCCTGTTTGGAGAGTTGCACTGATGAATCCACTATAGGTGTCTATGCATACATGGATATATTTTAGCTGACCGAATTCTAAGTGGTGAGTAACGTCCATTTGCCAAATTTCGTTGGGGATGAGTCCTCGGGGGTTAACTCCTAGATAGGGAACAGGCAAATACGTTATGCAGTTGGCGCATTGTTTAACTATTTGTCGAGCTTGTTCTCTGGTAAGTTTAAACATGAGTCTTAAGGTTTGGGCGTTTAAATGATGCAAGGCATGTGCTTTTTGCGCTTGTTGCAAATTGTCTGTAGTGACTGTGGCTATGATTTTTGTTGCCGCGTCAGCTGTTGCGTTACCTTGTGTTAAAGGTCCCGGTAATCCTGAATGTGCTCTAATATGCCCAAGAAAAAAGGGGGTAGTCCTTTTTCGAATAAGTTGTTGACATTGTAAAAATAGGTCAGCTGTGTCTGAAATATGTTTAATTTGAGGCACGGTCTCTAAGAGGGGTATTGAATGAGCCAGGTAGGTGCTGTCTGTGTAAATGTTAAGTGGCTGACAAGGAAAAGCTGATAATGCTGCAATTATAGCTTGCAATTCGACCAGCTGAGCTGATGTATAAGTGGTCTGGAATTTAACGACTACATTATTGTAAGTGTAAGCGGCAAGTCCTGTGGAAGATCCATCAGTGAAAATTAATAATGCGTCATTGAGAGGTTCTTTGCTGGTAATATGGGGAAACACAAACGCATGAAGTTTGCAAAATTGAATAAGTTTGTTAGGTGGGTAATGGTTGTCAATCGCGCCAGTATAAGAAGCGCAAGCAATTGGCCAGGCTTCCGTATTTTGTAATAGCCAATGAATGTGTGATTGAGTGTAGGGCTGTATAATGGTAGAGGGTTCTATTCCAAAGTATTTTCTACTGTTTTCTCTTCCCAAGATAATTAGATCAGCTATGGCATCATAATAAGGCAACAAAACCTTTTTAGGGGAGGAGGGCAGGTGTACCCACATAATGGGATTGTTCTGCCAAAATAGGCCAGTAGGGGTTATTGTTGTGTTAAAAATAAGGAATATTAATGGCTGAGAATAATCAATACCGGTAACAAATTGTGTTGCAATGGCATGTTCTACCTGTTGGAGTGCCATTAATGCTTCTTTAGTAATGGACCTGGGAGATTTTGGATTAGAGTCTCCTTTTAATATATCGAAAAGAGGTTTTAACTCTCCTGTAGTGAGTTTTAAGTACGGCCGAAGCCAATTTATGTCTCCCAGTAATTTTTGGAAATCATTTAAAGTTTTTAAATGATCACGACGTATAACGGCCTTTTGATTAATGATTTTGGGTCCATTAATTTGAAAACCAAGATAGGTGTATGGATCTTGTAATTGTACCTTTTTTGGGGCTATTTGTAGTCCAGCTGCTGCTAACTCTTGTTTGAGTTGAGCAAAGCACTGTAAGACTTGTTCGCCAATTTCTCCTGCTATTAAAATATCATCCATATAATGTATAATATACATCTGTGCCCATGTTTTTCTGACTGGCTCTATAGCGGCAGCTACATATTTTTGACACAAGGTAGGACTATTAGCCATACCCTGAGGTAAGACTTTCCATTGATAGTGTTTCATTGGTTGTTTAAAATTTGTAGATGGAAGACGAAAGGCAAATCTTTTTTGGTCAGCAGGATGAAGGGGAATTGTAAAAAAGCAATCTTTAAGGTCAATAATGATTTTAAAATATTTTTGAGGAATCGCAACCGGTGAAGGTAATCCTGGTTGTAAGGCACCCATAAGGATCATAGTGATATTTACTGCTCTTAAATCTTGTAAGAGCCTCCATCTACCAGACTTCTTTCTAATAACAAAAATAGGTGTATTCCAAGGAGAATTACTTTCTACAATATGTCCTGCTATCAGTTGTTCCTGCACTAACTGTTGAGCAGCACTTAGTTTATCATTAAGTAAAGGCCACTGATCAACCCAAACGGGCTCATCTGACTTCCAAGTAATGGGGTCAGCGCACCTTTGGGGTGCAGGTATGTCAGTGGCCTGAGCTAAAAATTTCCAAACCCCTTTTTATCAAGTTGTCCTGAAACCAATATAGGCTGTGGGATACCGTTTTCTCCTTTTCCAAGACCCTTACCAGGGGTGTATCCTTGAGTTAACATTTGTGCAGTAACTACCTCATTTGGACTACACATTATAATTTTCATTTGAGAGAGCAGATCTCGCCCCCAAAGGTTAACAGGTAGGTAAGGGATGACAAATGGCTTAATGAGGCCTGAATTGTTTTCTTTATCTGTCCATGTTAGGTATTTAGAACTTTGTTTAGGATTACTGCTTTGTCCAATTCCTCTCAAGTGAGTTAAAGTCTCTGTAGTAGGCCAATGAGAGGGCCAATCTTCCTGCTTAATGATCGTTACATCAGCCCCTGTGTCTATTAGTCCAGTGAATGCCTTCCCGTCTAACCATAAGGTTAGAGAGGGTTTTTTATTTGTAATTGGTTGCACCCAATATATATCTGATGATCCGAAACCTTTTATATCTCTATTAGAATATTGAATATTATTATCTGTTTTAACC